GCAATCCCTGACCTAAAATTGTACTGCAAAGCTACTGTGATGAAAACAGCATAGCACTGGCAAAAGAACAGACCTGAGGATCAATAGAAGAGAGTAGAAGATTCAGAAACAACTCCAGACATACTCAGCCACCTAATCTTTGACAAAGGAGCCAAACACCTTCACTGGAAGAGAGATAGCCTCTTCAATTAATGGTGCTGAAAACACTGGCTTTCCACATGCCAAACACTGAAACTAGACACATCTTTCACCATGCACTAATCTAAAATTGAAATGGACCACAGATCGAAATATTAAAACAGAAACACTAAATCTTCTGGAAGACAGAATAGGTAGAACACTTGAGGACACAGGAGTAGGCAAAGACTTCATGAAGAAAACCCAGACCCCATAAGAAATATTACAAAGAATCAACAACCGGTATCTCACCTGATTAAAAAGCTTCTGCACATTGGGCCGGGGATTTAGCTCAGTGGTTTTGCTGACTGGTGCGCAAGCGCAAGGACCCGAGTTCGATCCCCAGTACCAAAAAAAAAAAAAATTCTGCACAGCAGGAGAAACCATCAACAGAGTGAAGAAACAACCCACAGTGTGGGGAAAAAAAATTTACCAGCTACTCATCAGACAAAGGACTACTATCTAGAATATATAAAGAACTCAAAAAAGTCTTACCCCCTGAATTTGAAGACCCAATCCAAAAATGGGAATGTGAAATGAAAAGACACTTCTCAGATGAAGAAGTAGAAATAACAAATAAATACATTAAAAAATGTTCAACATCATTAGTCATGAAATAAAAATTAAAACAATGCTGAGATTCCATCTAACACCAAAAAGAATGGCTATCAAGAAATCAACCAAGGCATGCCACAGCTCCCAGTGCAGAGGAGGCTTCCGGGTCACCTTGCCACAGCTCCCAACACAGAGGCTTCCGGGTCAGTGTGCCACAGCTCCCAGCTCAAGGATTCCAGGTCAGTGTGCCACAGCTCCCAATGCAGAGGAGGCTCCTGGGTCAGCATGCCACAGCTCCCAGTGCAGAGGAGGCTTATGGGTCAGCGAGCCACACCTCCCAGCACAGAGGAGGCTTCTGGATCAACATGCCACAGCTCCCATTGCAAAGGAGGCTTCCAGGTCAACCTGCCACAGCTCCCAGAGTACAGGAAGTTTCCAGGTAGGCTTGCCACAGCTCCCAGTGAGAGAAGAGGCTTTCAGGTCACTGTGCCACAGCTCCCAGAGCAGAGGAGGCTTCAGGCCACAGGTCGCAGCACAGAGGAGGTTTTTGGGTCACCGGGCCACAGCTCCCAGCACAGAGGAGGCTTCCGGGTCAACATGCCACACCTCCCAGTGCAGAGTAGGAGGCTTCCAGGCCAACCTACCACCACTCCCAGCATAGAGGAGTTGAGCAGCACGGGCTCCAACAACACAGCCCCAAGCTCCATGAAAATGAGAAGACACATAAACAAGCCTCAGAACCCTAACCCTAACCCTAATACGTGCAGAAAAAGAATTTGAAAAAATCCAACACGCATTTATGACAGAAGCCCTACAAAAAATTGGAATAGACAGTCTCTACCTCAATCTGATAAAAGCCATCTATGAAAAACCAATAGTCAGTATCAAACTAAATGGTCAAAAACTGAAATCCTTCACACTAAAATCAGGAACAAAACAAGAATGTCCACCATCACCACTCTTGTTCAATATAGTTCTGGAAACATTAGCCATGGCAATAAGACAAGAGAAAGAAATAAAAGGAGTAAAGACAGGAAATGAAAGAGTAAAATTGTCATTATTTGCGGATGACATGAAACTCTATATAGAAGACCTCAAGAACTCCACCAAAAGTCTTCTAGACTTAATAACCAAATTCAGTAGAGTAGCTGGATACAAGGTCAACACACAAAAATCAATACCTAGGAATACCTAGGAATACCTAGGAATCAACCTAACAAAAGAAATCAAAGACCTTTTCTCTGAATACTATAGCACTTTGAAAAGAGAGACTGAGGACAGTATCAGGAAATGGAAAGACATCCCTTGCTCCTGGGTAGGAAGGATCAACATAGTGAAAATGGCCATACTTCCAAAACTGCTCTATAGATTCAATGCAATCCCAATTGAAATCCTAGCAACATACTTCCCAGACCTTGAGAAAACAATCCAAAAATTCATTTGGAACAAGAAGAGACCCAGAATAGCAAAAGCAATTCTAGGTAACAGAGACATGGCAGGGG